TGGACCTTCTGAGGCTGAACACCCTGAGAGGAAGCAAAACCGTTTTTTTTTTTTTACCCCTTGAAGGTAAATTAAAAGACAGGCTCTTCAAAGCCTCAGTTTCTAAAATTCAAAAAAGCTAAGTGGCAGTAATAATCTCTTCATACGATGTTCCAGGGTGCAAACAATATGTAATTTCAGTGATCACGAGCACGAGACAAAGAATTCCAGGTTGATATTCTTTCATTGCTAGAGAACCCGGCAATCATGAAAAATCTGAACAATATAGCTTTTCGCATTAAATCTCTCACTGCTAAGATCAAAATATCAATTTTCCCTCCTGACTGATATTCATTTCTTATGTGATGGTTGGGAGATTTTGGGTAGCAAAGCAATACAATCTACTAACTGACGTTTTTTTTTATCTCGTCACATGTCTTCTTGACAATGAACACTTGAGAATATCAAGGTGTGTGTACAGACCCGCAAATGATCCCAGACCGTAAATGATCTTCAAATTGTACCGCACATGATCCCAGGACCGGAAATAATCCCCAGATTGCGTCATGAATGATCCGGCCCGGACCGGAAGTGGTCGCCTCGCAATAAAAGAGGAAAATGTATGGACTCAGGGATTTGTACAATGGATTGAAAATTTATATAATCGATTTTTTTAAATTACTGTGAAACTCAGAAAACCATGAACTCTTTGGTTTGATTCTGAAAGGTTGGGTACTTAACCAATCACAATAAAGTTTAAGACGCGCGTAAAAACCTCGCGAAACCACAACTAAATCGTAAAAACTATTTTTCCTTGGCCATCGTAGCTTTAGAAGAAACAAAACACAAACTAATTACTGCTACTGTTTGCGGTTTAGGTCTCTCACGATTAACTGGCTTTGTCCTTGCTACGCAACAATATTCCATAAATATTTCTGGTTTCACGTTTTTCTGAGTGTCACAGTAATAATGCAATAGTTTGATAACGTAAGCAAAATGTACAGTATGAACGATTTGAATGCAAATTTCACAACTTTAAAAATGATATCCAACGTTACGAAATCCTGTGTTCCCGCGCGGGAAGGGCAGTTACTCTTTTATTTGGGCTATATAGGTATGTGCGGCCCCAAGGGGTACGGATTTTCAGCTGCTTTGGCCATAACTTGAGAGGTTTGGCACTTTAGTATTGAATAATTTTGGGTAGGTTTTTTTTACAAGAAGCTACTTTTTCATCATTATCGATAAGATCATCAACAATAGCCCTTCACAATTCCTTTAACATTCGTCTGAATAAGGAAACTAATTATAAGGCAGGTCAGAAAGAGGGTATTGATTAAAGGGTCAGGTCATACATAGGGTATCGAATTTTTGGTCAGGTCATAAATAGTGTATTAAAAATCGCAGATTTTGGTTCTAAATAGGGTAAGGGTTTTGGGAAGTGGCCCGCACACCCGAACCAAATTTTTCTGGGAGTACCCATTCTCGGGGTCCGGGCCTGACATGTATGATAAAACAGGGTGTTCACTATATCCTCACATTTGGAAACTGAGAATTCCAAAGTGAATTGACCACAAGTTCGCGTTTCTTTCGGCACAGAGATTATTGACAGTAGAAAGAAAATTGCAGGAGCAAAAGCTACAGCTCTACTCGTACGGCATTCAGAATCTATCTGAGTGAATAACACTGGGGTAACTTGCACGAAGATTTCGGTGTCTATCAAGGACGCAGATATAAAAAGTGTACAGAGAAAAGTTCTAAGTGGTTAATTAAATAGCAGAGGCATCTTCAAAGATTCATGTTTATTTTTCGGTGCGTTTCCCAAACGAAAAATTTATACAGTCGACTCACGTCAATTTGGTATTTTGCGCAGTATGTCTAACGTTTTCTATTGCTGCATTTATGCCTGACGTACTTGTCTTTTCTTCACCTAGGATAATTAAAAAATACATATCCACGCATAAACTTTTATGGAGTCCACGCCATTCCTAACTTTTTGCGGTGGAATCAGTTCCGGTCCGGGGATCATTTGCAGGCCTGTACATGTCAGTCATCGACATATGACTTCACACCACAGGGACACATTGGAACGACTGTGGAAATAGTCAACTGACAACTAACATCACGTTTATTTTGTCTGGATTACTACAAAAGTCTACCTGATACAATTACTCTGACTTAAACTTCATCGTCTTTCGTTTTAAAGTGTTCTCATCACTTGTACAATAAAACTACAATACATACTATTTTCATCAGGAAGAAAAGTCACTTSTCTTTCAATACAGTGAYATACAYRAATTGATTACAGAATAAAGAAACTTCAAGAATCCACTATGACAGATCCTCGGCATTTTTTGACCATTTTGCGCACACAAAAAAATTAGAAATCTAGATTTCTATACTGCTTCAAACTTTTTTATGAGTACATTACTCAGTACTACGTTTTCTTATATTTTCCTTTGAAAAACATTCCATTGAAAAAATCGAATGCGCTTATTAGAAATGCAATACACCGATAATCTAATCATCATACGCTGCGCTAAATTGAATATTTTCAGAAAATCTTCCATGGTAGGAAAAAATATTTTATAATGTTGTGGTCATGAATTAAATTATTTTGCACAAAGTTGGAGGCTCGAACTCTCCACTGTTATCCCTAATTTGAACATCTATATTACATTAGTCCTTATACGCTTTATGAAACCTTAAAACAGGTTAGCCTGAATATCAGACATCTCCTCCAGTCACACACTAAAATAATGCAAGCATCGTTGAGAATCTGTACAAAACTTGTCCACACTTATGATTAGGTTCTAGTTACATGTATACTCTGCAATGAATTAGGCCTTAACTAATATTCAAAAAGAATCCCTAGACTCTAGACCCTAGTCTAGTTTAACTAACATATTCAATGTTGAAAATGAACAGTTCTACCTAGCTATCAAATATTAATTTAACATTACAAATTACAAATGTCTAGAATAGTTTGACGTGAACTTCACTGAATGGCCACCGGCATAATTCTTCGTAAAACAACTTCAAACAATTATTTTTGTTAATAAATTTTCACGTAGTTTCCAGTAAATTGTGTACCTAACGTTTTTAAGTTCTTGCAATTATTCTGAAGTTTATTGTGTCGCGCTTTATTCCCGTCTACAAATCTGTTATAAAAACTAATAACAACCGACGTTTCTTGTTTGAAAACAATAAAATTCTCTGAACTGTTACTATATAACACAAATAGATTCCATTTTATCCTTGGTCCGTTCAGTAACTGAACAAAGCAGATATTGAATCAAAGGAATGCGCGGTGCTAATGTCCTCACAATAAGTTCACGTCAGGTTTTTGTAAGTTTTACGCTTGTAGACTCTGTACTCAGCCTCCGTTAGTGCACCACCTTGACTTTGCTAAATCTATCTACTTTACAGTACTTCGTCCGACAGTCAACTGTTTTGTTCTGACCATGTTTCGAGGTCATCTGTGCATCTAGAACTGACCAGACGCACGGCAAAATGAAGTCTATTTGTTAAGCTTCAAATCGTTCTTAATATCTTGTAATATCATTGTTAAAAGTAACTTGGTTGATTAAAAAAGGCACGTGGAAAATTTTTCCTGTGATGGACAATGCCAAGACAGCCTCCAGGACACGACGCAGTTTGCTGGGACTAAAGAGGATGCACTCCATCTTGCCGTGCTTCTTAGTAGAACGAGAAGCGCGAAGTTCGCGCGCGTTACTCGTTCGTTACACGCCCTCGTTGAAAGTATCACTTCACTTGCTGTAATCATTATTGTCGTCATCATCACCATTCATCCCTCGGAAACGGCTCAGCTACAAAAGATACGTACATCAGTACATAAGGAAGGAAGGAAGGAAGTTGGAAAGTGAGTAAGTAAATAAGTAAGTATTTAAGTGAGTGAGTGAGTGAGCGTGTGAGTGAGTGAGAGAGAGAGTGAGTAAATGAGTGAGTGTGTGTGTGTGTGTGTGTGAGTGTGTGAGTGAGTGAGTGAGTGAGTGAGTGAGTGAGTGTGTAAGTAACGTAAGAAAGAACTTCATTTAAGTCTTAATTACACGAGGTGACCATGAAAATTGCTTAAAACTAACAAATGACGTGGAAAAGGTCGATCAAAAAAATATACCTGATCAGGATAATAACGATACTACGGTGAACAAGAACACACCTGCAAAAGATACGTACATCAATACATTGCATGGGGTGACCATGCAAATTGGGTAAAACTAACAAATGACGTGGAAAAGATCGATCAAAAACGTTTATTATTAAAACATTAGTCAAACCACAGACGTCCCAAACTCACAAGGAATCCATCAAATATTAATGATTTATGTACGCGTATCGAGTGGGACGTGACCTCTTACATTGCGCGGCGTTGTGTTACACTTTGGGCCGTTGAGAATTTGAGTACTCCAAAAGGCATTTGTATGGAGTTTAAAATAACGAAGGAGAAAATCACGCAATGAAATAAAATGTTCCTTTTTTGCATAGAATATAGAAAATATACTCACCTTGCCTGGTTTCTATAGTCCAATTGGGCTATTTCATCGTTTTGGGTTTTTTTTTTGAGGTGTTTGTCGCATTCCCAGCTTGGGACGCCTGTGGTCAAACCACACGGGCAAGGGACTCTAATCACCATTCAAACGAGCTACGTCACGGTTTGCACATTTTGATAAGTTTGGCCTAAATTTCTTATGATCATCGTTTACAATCATCCTTGTTAATCTTCTCCATCACTGATCACCCTTGTTCCTTTTTGTTTTATTATTATCTCTTTAGTGTTTTTCTATCTTCGTGAATTATTTTCGGGTTTTTTTCAATGAGTGAAAAGTGATTTTGTACGAGGCCAAAATAACTCAAAATACTGTGACTGTGCTCCTTTAAAAAAGCTTTTAGGATACACGTCACGTGAGTAACTGACAACAAAGGAAAATCCGGGGGGATTTACTCCCTTATGTGGGCTATATAGATATGTGTGGCCCCAAAGGATATGGTTTTTCAGCCGTCCTGGTCATAAATAGGGTATCAATTTTGGCCATTTTGGTCTTAAATAGGGTATAGTTTTTGTACTCTAGTCTTGAATCGGGTATGTTCTTTAGAAGAAGCTGCTCTTTCATCATTATCGATAAGACCATAAAGAAAGGCCCTTCATAAATTCTGTTCAGGGCAACTATGTCAGCCGCAACAGTCATAAATAGGGTAGCACATTTTTGGTCAGGTCATAAATAGAGTAGGAAAAATCACAGATTTTGGTCATAAATAGGGCAAGGGTTTTTAGGAACCAGGCCGCACACCCCCAACAAATGTTTCCGAGAGTACCCCCCTCTCCCCCCCCCGGGAGGAAAATTAAGAGTAAAAGTAAGGTAAGAGTATTAAGAGTAAAATTCTAAAATAAAATTACAATATTCAGCATACATTGAATGTAATCTACTTCCTAAACATTCTCCTAAATGAGATCTTAACCGTGATCTCACACATTACCTGGGCAACAGTCCCAGCCAGCGGATGGAGCATTAACACATGCGCAGACTTAGGCCCAGGGTAGCTTTTGGGCTGAATTTTGCAAACATGCATATTTTGTTACGTTTTCATTCTTACCCCCAGGAAAGCAATCGTCGTTGGAAAAGTTTTAACTAATATGGGTTTCGAAATTTTGAAGGTCCGAAAAGCAAATATATAATTTCCTAGCCGGTCACTGCTCTCTCAGAAATAGCCGCTCGTAACAAACTTCGAGCAGAAGTCTGCCTTCGAGCTTAGTGGCCAATCACGCAGGTGCTTATCTCTGTTTACCGTGCATGAGGCGGCTAAGAGTATTTCTACTGTGCCCTGATTGTGAATGAAATGATGTCCTTCGGAGGGATACTCTCAACAGTCAATTTACAGGTACCAGGAGCCATAATCGGGGACGGAGACCTTAAGCGCGCTATTTCTAGTATTGGGGCTGTCCCTATGATATAGGACAATTTTCTATTTTTAGAACAAATTGCTCCATCGCGTGCGGCACACGCGCATACATGCTGCGAGGATTTTGGGGGATGTCGCCAGGGGAAAATTGCGCCCGAAATTCCCGAAATTTTTTATGCTTTTGGCCCTCAACTCAATACGTTTATGCCTGTTGGAATTTTGCTTACGCAAGCTGCTCCAATCTGAGTGAAGTAAGACAGTGTCGAATTTAGGTACGTCCCGCTTCACATCACTGACCAAGTTGTGTTCCACTGTTTCTTTTACTAGAACTCCACATTACTCCCCTCTAAATTTCGCATATGTTGGTTGAAGATTAACAGCTTTTCCATAACACAGCAAAAAAACTATGTGGATATATTTGGATATACTAGCATTTCAGTACTTCAGTCTCCCTTCTCTTGCCATACGCTTACGGGGATTTCGCCAGAGTCTATCGCGACCGAAGAGTAAAAAAAAAAAAACATTGCAAGTTTGAGTTTCGTCTGAAATGTAAGCAAAGCTTTATGTTTTATCAAGGCCCAAAAAGGTTTACGCCTATAAATACTGCTCAGTTTTGTTTGTGTAAAAATCCAATAAATTGTCTGCTGTCGATGAATAAGACCGCCCGCCGATGCGTTTTTTGTACAGTTAGTAAACATGACAAATTGGATTTCCGCACTTTCGTGTGAAAACGTACATCGGACTCATACATTTGTAATTTTCAAATATGTTTAAGGTTGATAAATGTTTGAGAACATATTAAAAGGCTAGCTGAAAATATGTGAATAAAGCAGAGATAATCAGCAAAGTTACGATGACGCTTTCTTCAATCAACTCGAATAACGATTTCGATTTTGTTGGTTGAGTTACTAAAACTCCTTGTCTACCGTAAATCCTCGAATTAGCGCGTCCCTCCCTCAAATAAGCGCCCCTCCTATCAGCCGAAATTTAAAATAAGCGCCCCCTCCCCTCCCCCCATTTTGTGGACGAGTAATGAGACAACAAAGGATGTATAGTTTTCGTCATGTAGTATCAGATTTGTACATTGTTTCAGTTTGTGAACACGTTAAGTACTAATGGTGCCGCGATTTAAACTTTAAGATCATTTTTTTATGTCAATAAACTGCTTATGTTGTTGTTTACGCGCAGAAAAAAAATGATTATTTCAGGCCACGATTTGGGAAAAATTAAATAAGCGCCCACACCCGGTCTTCTCCTAAATTTGAAATAAGCGCTCCGGGCGCTTATTCGAGGATTTACGGTATTTCATTTTCGCAGTCTAAAATTTCACTATGTTGAGGAAACACACATGATGTTAGTAGCCTTTTGGCATTGGTGAAAATTGTTGCAGCATCTCAGCACAAAAGATAACGAAATAAATTTTTGTCAAGATTTGTTGACAACTGAAAACACCGACTCGGACTTGAAAGTGCTCGCGCTGCGCTATGCAAATGAGCTACTTGTACGCGTCAGACTTTTCTTTCAAAAAACTTTGCAAACTCGCCAAATAAGCGGGAACGACGAGAAACTATCAAAAACAGGTTTTGGTTATGACTAAGCATTGTTTTAGAAACTCGCAAAATAGATAATTTATTCACAGCGCGAAATTGAAGTCTTGTTTTCGACCCTGAAAAGCTCGCCCGGGTTCTTATTCACTGCCTTATTCCCTGCCATCGCTTTGAAAAATCCGCAAGAGAATCTCACAACTCTCGCCTTTGATCACGCAACATGACAACATCCACGCGAGAGCCCACGTCAAGTGCTTGGATCCGCGCGGATATATGTCGTCAGGGTGGCGCAATTTGTTCTAAAAATAGATCCCAAGACTTACGGTCTCCGTCCCCGATTATGGCTCCTGTCGGTACCCATCTTTTTTTTTTGTTAATCTATTTACCTCTGCGTAGAGAGAGGAACTGTGAGAGTAAAGGGTTTTGCCAAAAAACATACAACACAATAGCCTTCAGAACAAGCGGATTAGCGGGGCCGAAGCTCGATAAATAATTGCAAACGCGAAGCGCGAGACGAAAAAACAAACCGTTGATTTTTCTCGCCTTGCTCTGAGAGCCTGTTCTCGCGCTCCGTATACCCCTGTTCTGCAGGCTCTTGTCTCTTTAATTCCGGACGTATAGTGATGAAAAGACTGTTGAGCTCAACACTTTTTATTGCTATACAGAGCGCAAAAGGCTTTTTTTAATGTTACATATTCATTCTTCTATTTGTGAGAGAGAAGGAACTTTTTCTTAACTGAATATAGTTAGTTTACGCTGAATATAGTAAGTTGTAACGATGTGACATAGTTGGAACACGTTTGGTCCCTGGCCTCGTAAAAACAACAAGTTTCGAGTGTTAATCGCTGGACGGGTTGCACACTATAAAGTTAACATTTGTTTGATCAGAACGAAAGCATGTTCGATGTTTTTCCTTGTCATTAGGATTGTTTAGTTTACTAATAGCAATTACACTAAAAAAGCGTGCGCATAGCATCGAGAACAAAAGAGAAAGCTGGCTGTTTAATTCAAGGGTGGTTACCGGAATGTTAAAGTTTGTTTGACAATGGCTAACCTCTTGTTCTCCTTCTTGTGCTTTTATGTGTTTTCGGGGTTGAGAGTCCTGTAAAATGACAGTAGGTTTTAAGCGTGATTATGTAATAAATAAATAAGGGGTTATTGACCAAGCGTGAGGTCAAGATGGTTGGATATTGGCCAAGTTCTTTTTTTGCGTGTTTATGGACCGAGACGGAGTCGAGGTCCATAAATTCGCACAAAAATGGACGAGGCCAACATCCAGCCATCTTGTACAAAAAACCTTGGTCAATAAAGGATTTTTAATATGGCTCTCGGGGAAATTTTTCCAGCAGGATATGGAGAGTAGTCCAGAGCGGGCAAGATAGCGCCATCTTACCCGTTCGGGTAGCCAATCACAGCAGAGGATTTGGTTCATCTTGCCCGCTCACGGAGCTGGTCATATAATAATACACATTCCTCGATTCTGATTGGCTAAAATTAGTAATAGCAAGCACATTGAAGCTTTACTGAGGAAACAATGTGTAGATGACCTTAAATAGTATGTTTTTAAGTGTATTGTTAACAAGTAATCGCAGCTCAATAAATACTCTGCTACTATTGACCTTGATTTCAAAAAATAATTGTAAAGTATTTCAACTGTTCCTTCTCATTTCTCCTCAGCAATAAAGCGCTACTCTGAATAAGCTTTATCTCATGAAATTGCTACTTCCATCGCTTATAGCTTACCATCTGCTCTTCCAGCTGTCTTCATCTCCAGGCAACCGAACCTGGATAAGTTCGTATCCGTGTTTAGAGTCACTTTGATAAATGGCGACGAGACGCTTACATGGCGAGGCTGCTAAGCAATCCCGCCTTTGTTTTAGCGGGGTACTCCGCTGCACGTTACTCCGCTGCAGGCCACTCTTCAGCGTGTTACTCAGCGGGAGGTTACTCAGCAGGTCACCTGACTTCACGTTAAACAGCTGAACACGACAATGTTCTAGGAGGATAGCCTCGGAGATGACAACACACACCTCGTCACTGACAAATTTACAATCAAAAAATGATGACAGACCGGTACGTGGACTACCTAAAACGTGTAGCAGTTTTCCAGAAACTGCGTCAAAGACGTATACTCCATCTCTACTCCACACATTAGAGTAAATGATGACAAAGGTTTCCGCAGGAGAAAACCTTCCAAAATCACAAAGATCTTTTGTATGCAGTTGTTTTTCCCAGAGCGTGGTTTCGCGATCCGACAAACGAAGTGAGCCATCCTTGCTCCAGGTTAAAATTTGAAATTTACTGTTGCACGCACGCAAATTTGTGGTTCGATCAATCTGGATGGTCGACAAGATCTCTCCGCTAGTAGTATCAAGGATGATCACCTTCCCCTCTTCCGTCGTACATGCCACTTTTTCTTCAGATGTAGGAATCACGTCTGTTACACTGCCGATGTTGGTGTAGCGTCGGACGCACTTGGACAACTCAAAATTCCACATTTGCAGAGTACCGATTTCTTTTATCAAAACACCACCTTTCACAGCTAAAAGATAAATGCGTGAGGATAAATCCCTCTTTGCAATCAGCTCGCTATTTGAAACATTCCAGGCCGTCACTGTGGTTGCAATTAAGTCATTAGAGCGACTGACAACATAAATGGTCTCACCACTCAAGGAAAACACAGCGTGTTCCACGATAGTATTTGCAGCTTCTTTATCATCTTCCTCTTGGTCAGTAACATTCAACATTTCTACGCGATCATCATCACTCCTCAATACAGTATGCTTATCAAGCACAAAATCAAACTTCCTACTTGAAATGATTCGACCAAGCTCTTCTTTAAATGCACCAGATACGGGATCTCCTAACAAAAATCCACCCTCGCTACGTGATTCAAATTCCCAGGTTACATAGGGCTCTTCAAGAACATCCACCCGCCAGGAGGAATGTTCGACGATATTGATATTCAGACGAAAGGCAGAGTACTTAATGTCATGCGGTGATAAATGGAGACAAAAAAGAGATCGACTATTGGGCGAAAACCTAATCATGCCACATACGTTTCGGAGATCGGTTTGTCCTAGTATTCTAAAACCATTTACCACATCAACGATAGCAATACGACCACTCAAATGAGAAATTGCCAGCAGCTTTGCATCTCGTGACCATGCAAAAGACAAGACATCTTCATCTCTGGTGATATGAGTAATCTCTGAACCATTCTTCAGACTCCAAATTATAATGCATTTAGCATTGTGAGGACAATCAGTTAACATCGTGGTCTTGTCTACTGAAATCGAACAAACAGTGAAACTGCAGCTGCTTTCAGGAAAAAGGGGTTTCAGATCTCCGTTGAAATCATACACATGGTTAAGGACTCCCGGTAAAACCACTTTCTCGGTGGGATGAAAAACTACTGAGCGATAACATGACAAGACATCTGATGAGGATACTGATATTCTGAGAATGCTGAAGTAGCGTTTCTTTCCCTTTACAGGACGAGTCCACCGTAGCTTACCAGTATGGAGTGACCACAACTGAATCGTTCCGTCCTTACACTCACACACCATGTAGTCTAACTGTGGTGAAACATCAAAACAAACCACTGCAGATGAACATTCAAACTGGGCTAGAACCGGTTCCTGGTGCATTTGCTTGTTCACAAATTCCATGTAAGATATTCCAGGGTATTTGGTCTGCAACATGTTTGATGCCATAGGAGATAAAACTGGCCCTCCTTCATTCAGCAAGATTTGGAAAACTAGGTGAGGATGATCTGTAAAACTGCTGAAGTACTTTCTTAAAAGGAGCATCAGGGTGTTCAGTAAATCTTTACTGTTTGCCGACAGAGTTCGAGAAAGTTCCTGACTTTGAAGCCAT